TAAGACAACACTGGCAAAAATGATATATCGTGATCCTAAAATTGAATATGAATTCTATAATCGAGCATGGGTTTATGTTTCTCAAGAATATAGTAGAAAGGAAGTATTCCTCAACATTTGGAGTCATTTTGCCAAGCCCAGTGATGAGATGTCTAGGATGAATGAGGAAAATATAGCAAAGGAACTTCGTGCATTTCTGGAGAAAGTAAAGTATTTAATTGTCATGGATGATGTCTGGACTGAAGACACATGGAATGATCTCAAAATTGCTTTTCCAAGAAATAAGAAGCGGAGTAGAATATTACTGACTAGTCGTATCAGGAAAGTGGCTGTGCATGCTAACCCCATCATGGAGCCCCATAATTTGCGTTTTCTAACTCCGGATGAGAGTTGGACGTTACTCCAAAGGAAGGCACTTGGCGCAGAGGAATGTCCTAATGAGTTGTTACAACCTGGAAAGTTTATAGCCAAAGAATGTGGTGGACTACCACTCGCACTAGTGGTGATTGGAGGAATTCTTCTGGAAAAAGGTACTGAAAGTTATTGGTGGGAAAGGGTTGCTCAAAGTGTGGATGCATATCTTTCCATGGATCAAGAGCAACGCATGGACAGTTTTATAGCTTTGAGTTTTGATCACTTACCTTATCACCTGAGAGCATGCTTTCTCTACTTCGGAATGTTTCCAGAAGATTTCCAAATCCCAGTGTGGAAATTGGTTCACTTATGGATCGCCGAGGGATTCATACAACTAAAGGAGGGAATGAGCTTGGAGGATATTGCGGAGGAGTATTTGGACGATCTTGTCAACAGGAATTTAGTAATGGTTGGAGAACGGAGGTCAAATAGGAAAGTTAAAACGTGCCATGTTCATGATATGCTACACGCGTTTTGCAAAAAAAAAGCTGCAGAGGAAGACTTTTTCCAAGAAATTAAACGGTTTGATCAAGTTACCTATTCATCTTCCAACCCTGCATTGGAAATGTACCGTCGCCTTTGCATTCATTCCCGTATTTTGAATTATCTCTCTTCAAAACCAGTTGGTCCACGTGTTCGGTCTTTCTTGTGTTTCTCCTCTGAAGAAATTATCTTGCAAGCTGAACACATTTCCTCCATACCTGGAGCATTTAAATTGCTTAGGGTTTTAGATGCTAAACCCATTTCTTTCACTCGGTTTCCTCCTGATCTAGCTCAACTCGTTCATTTGAGGTATCTTGTTCTGTCCAGCAATTTCAAGATCCTCCCTGCCGCCATTTCTAGCCTTTGGAACATGCAAACTCTTATAGTTGAGACTTCATCACGAACCCTTGAAATCAAAGGAGATATGTGGAAGATGATACAACTGAGGCATCTAAAAACAAATGCATCCACATCTTTACCAGGTCCTCTTGCTAAATCAAGAAAAAGGAAAGATGATTCTTTGATAAATGCAAACCTAAGAACACTTTCTACAATATCTCCCGAAAGTTGCACAGATGATGTCTTCGCGAGGGCTCCTAACCTAAAGAAGTTGGGTATTCGTGGGCGATTAGCTAAACTTTTGGATGCCAGGGGTGCATCTAGTTTGTTTGGTAGCCTGGGAAAATTGGAGCACCTGGAAAATTTGAAGCTACTGAATGATGTTTTTCCTGATCCACCTTCTGAAGGCAAACTAGCTGGCCTTCCCCAAAGGTACAACTTTCCGCCAAAGCTAAAGAAGTTAACACTGGCTGACACCCTTCTTGATTGGAATCAAATGGCTACATTGGGAATGTTGGAAAGCCTCGAGATCCTCAAGTTAAAAGACAATGCGTTCAAGGGAGAATGGTGGCAGCCAGAGGACGGAGGTTTCCGTGCTCTCAAAGTCTTGTTTATTGGAAGGACAGATTTAGTCCATTGGAATGCTTCAACTCATCACTTCCCGAGACTCAGGAGCCTTTATCTTAAACACTGCAGTAGCCTCGAAGAAGTTCCATTCAGCCTCGCAGATCTTTCAAGCCTCCAGCTAATTGACTTGTACTGTACCACCACATCAGCTGCTGCTTCTGCCCGGAAAATCCAAAAGCATAAGAAAAAGATGAAAAACGAGGCTGAGAAGCAAAGTACCAAAGGCATTGTATTTAAGCTTTCTGTTTATCCTCCAGATCAAGATCAATGATCTCCATTCTTTCGAGCTCAGGAATGCTGCTTTCACAGGTAAATTTTTTTTGTCTAGTTACTCTCCTGACTTGATATTTGTACTCCTATTGAGAACTTAAGGATCAAAAATTTATGTGAAGATCCAGAGTTAATTAATTCTTCCAATATTCAGCACCATAGAAACTTTTCTTTTTCTTTTTACTGTACTGGTACCTGCCTAAATTACTACGATTTCCAAGTTATTTGTTTCTCAATGTATTTATAACTTTTTCTAGTCCATGCTTTGTTCGCTAATTGAGGATGTGAAACATATTCCTTATTGATTTCTGTTGTACAAAATAGAAGTCCAAGATAACAAGTTTTACAGGCAGGAGTTCTCTTTTTATCTTGAATAAAAGTACTTTGACATTCATTTTGGACAACTTGGTTGACATTCCACGACGTGTAAAAAATCTGGCCATTGACAAAACTATCAGTGTAGCAAAACTGATTTATCTTATATAAATATCAATCATGCTGTGTGTAAATCCAGGGTGTCACCCCCGTCACATAGGGGCCTGCAATTATTTTATTACGCGCGGGCCCCACCCCCATGTGAGAGAGCTCCGGGGTGTCAACCCTGGATATATATATATATTGAAACTCATTGCTAGTCTAGTGATGTAACAAATTTCCTACATCTATAACTGATTGAACTTTTTGAACTTCTTAAATGAAACCAGTAAAAAGGTAGGAAAGACGTCTTTTAAATATTTCAGATGTTAGAGTAGAATTAAATCAACAGCCTTAAATCAGTTCTTTTATTTGTGAGTTTGAAATAAACTAGCTTAAAACTTCTAATATGAATCATACTGACTGCACTTGAACAGAATAGAATTGATGAGTAATCTGCAGGCAGAATATTCAGTGAAAGATAAATTTTAATTTTAAGTTATTCATTTTTCTTTTCATACAATTGACTCTACGATGTGTGCAGGTGGATGATCCCATGAACAACAATGCCTGAGATGTTGAACAAAAGAAGTATAGATGCCCGGAGCCATGTTTTCTCTTCCCAGTCTTGTTGCACTTGCTTTGCTTGAATAAAAGAAACTATTCCACTTTATTTTACTGTATGTTGAACTTCGGAAATTTTGTATTCCATTTTGTTGAATGCGTTCTACCGGCTGCTGCTATTATTGTGACTTGTGTATGTCTCTTAGATTAAATTTGATGTTACTTTTGTGGTTGTCCAAGTACAACAACATTTGCCTTTTCTTAATAAGTATTGTCGTTTTACTTAGATTATAACTACTTTTACTTTTGTGTATTTATTATTTACACCCTCCATTTAGTTGAGTAAGTTTAAAATGTTACTCTCTACACTCAATATTCCGAAACACCCAATTATTTATCTTTCATTGGCATTGTTTGAAATTTTTTGTTCTCGATGCTCACTTATTTCCTTTCTTCCTTGCTAAAAATTAAATTTCGCCTTTTTTCTTGGCAGATGTTGCTTCTATGTCTCAATTGTAGAGACACGTCGTGGGGAAAGGGATTTATGTCTAGTGTGTGATGAAGGAAATGGATCGTAGGAGAGGAGGTGGTGGAGAGTTGAGAAGATAGGGCGACACTTGGTGTAAACTGAGGTTTTATTGAAGAGACGTTCGAATGATAAAAATTAACATTACGAAGTTTTGCATCCCGGGAGTTAAAAAATACATATATTTTTTTTATTGAGAAGTTTAAATGAGTTTATCCTTGAATTATTTTGTACCCATTAGGCCAAATATATGGCATTAGTTCATTCATCAGGCAATACTTTTCAAGAATGCTCTTTTCAATTTGTCTAGAAGCCATAGACTTGATGTTTGATACCATATTAGGCTTCTACTAGTATGAGTCAATGTTTGGTCTGCTGTAAACATCAGTTATGGGTATCAACTATTGTCCAGTAGTGGATTATGGTATGTATATTTAGTTGACTAATCTATTGGGTTTTCACAGCACTAAAATCTTGATTCCTTGAACCTAGCTGTTTTAAGCTTGCTCTTAAATAATAAACCCGTCATTTTCTTGAATCTCTATACGGCAGATTGACTTTCTTGGTCTGCATATGAGTTAGATTTGAAGAAATTCAAAGTTGGATTTTTTTTTTTTCATTACATATTGGATTTGAGGAATGTACATGTTTTTTTTCCCTAATTAGATTTTCTAAGAACCTAGGTTTTTTTTTTTTTTATTTAACTCGGTCATATTAATATGTTCTATGCTAATCACAAACAAAATCCCTTGAAGAAAACTAACTCTTTACCATTTTCAAGCCGTTTTCTGTTTTCGATTTTTCAAAACGGTGAAAACGCATTTTCTTTTTTATTTTTGAAAACGAGTTTTTGAAAACAAGTTAAAAATTTACAAAGAAAATCCAAAACGTCGTTTTGCGTGTTTTCAGTTATAATCAAACCAAAATTTTCAAAAAAACGTTTTGGATGTTTTTAAAATAATTTTTCAAAATGTTAAAAAGAATACATTTTCAACAATATCAAAATGAACACTCAAAATACAAAACTCAAAATGAATTCAAAATTCAAAATACAAAACTAAAATATAAAGAGAACGAACCCTAATATTTTGAATTTAATTAACATTTGGAATGTTCAACCTTTTTTCACTTCAACGTGTCTATCCATCAAATGATTCAACCTAAAGAAAAAAGATCACGTGACAATTATAAATAGTTAAATACAAAATTAGGCATATACTTTGAATTTGGTCCCCTTTAGACGACTGAAAAGTCAATCTTCCACTGCCTTTGAAAATTGACCAAAATCAAAGCACACTTTCTCTCAGGTTCTTAACTATAAATTCTAAAAGTTACAAACCAGAAATTTCAAGCATTTCCTTCAATGGATTTCCATCGCAATCTTAAACAAGAAATTTATGCAAAGAACGTTTTCTCGTACGATGAATTTGAAGAAGGACATGAAGAAGATGACGGAGTTTTCTACAGTGAACTTAGAAGACAAGTTTTGCTATTAACAGCAGAAGATAGTGATGAAGAATTACATGAAAATAGAAATAGTCCAAACATGACCGAGGCGCGAAAACACGGTTCAATCCCCATGCCCTCTTCAGTAAAACCACCTAGCTGTTTTTATAACTGGTCAGGGAATAAGGATGATTATGCAGCACCTGCATGGGTATTGAACTTGTGGAGAACCGGCAATGGAACTGGTGTTTTCATACCGCAAATCGTCCAGTCGAGCAGAAGAAATAAACCAAGTATGTGCTTTTTATTGAAAAAGTGAATTTTTTTCACACTATGGATTATTTTTAATTATTTTTGTTATTAACAAGTTTGTTCTCTTTATATGGCTGCAGGAAGGAGGAAGAAGAATGAGAGAGGAAGAACATATAGGCACGTAGACCAGATGAATTGATTATTTGATATGCGATTATTTCATGAAAACATATGAAAATATTGTAAATATGTATTGTATTGTTGATCAATACCGTCGATGATTATTAAAAAGATAATTTTGAATGTTCTGATTTGATTATGCAATAAAGAGTTCAGATTGAATTCAATGCACATATTTTTATTAAGTTTAGTTAATTAATTTACACTGCAACGTAGTTATATTTACTGAAAAAAAAAAAAAGTAACGCCATTTCGTTTGTACATACAAGTACGATGGTTTACCGGTCAATGACTGAGAATATATAGCCAAGAGGTGCACAGAGAATAATTTCATCGCTTGATTTGCATCTGAACTAACCATAACAACCAAGTCCACCCTAGAGGGGGTCCCAACTCCGCCAGGGACAGCATACAAAGGCGAGAAATCTTCAGTTAGACCCACTGCGTACTTATCAATATTAAGCCTACGATTTTCCTAAGAACCGTGCTAAGCGTACAAGCAATTTTGTTAGATTGGTTCACAAGAACGCTTGGCATTATTCCATGTACAAAATTCCCATGTACAAGGAGGATAACCATTTTCCGAAAACTGTTTTGAGTCCAAAAAAACCAAGAGCCAAACCTATCACGACAACAATGTGCCAGAAATATCAACATCTAGACCACGTCGTGCCAGTTACGTTAACACATTGTTGTGAGTGCCTGAGAGAATGGGCGACTACCATCTGTATTGCTATGGTTCTCTACAATGTTATGCAATCAATTCAAAGCATAATCAATATGAAAAGCTTTGTTAATCTAATTCAGCATAATCATCTATTATTTAATTATGCGGGTTTTAAGTACAAGCAACCACAGATTCTACCTTATAATTTTACTAAACTTCAAATTAAACCTCAATATTTGAACTTTTCATGTTGCATCTTAACTTGGCAGAATGGTAGAATCCCATAAGTCTGACACTTCCCTTCTATAAATTTTAACTCCCAGAAATGAACTGTTGTAATATTTAAGTGGATAAACTATCAGGCCGAAATACGAACTTCTTTATATGTTAACTGCAAGGAAAACAACTAACGAAAACAACAAGGAAAACAACTCGTGAACTGCAATAAAACAACAAAATAAGAAATAGAAATTGCAACAACAAATAAATTTCCAAACCGAAACCTGTGCGAACACAGTTTCCTTAAAATAGATTCGCCCCCTCACCGTTCACGCTTGAGGTATAGTTTGAGCATCTGCTTCCCAGGATACAACGGTTAACCAGTAAAATCTGAACACAACGGTTTTTACTTCGGCGAACTGAGTTAGTGCTCGAACAATATCATCACCAGAAAATCGAAACAAGATTTGGAAAAAAAATTTCGTGTGCCAGAAATATCACCACCAGAAAATCGAACTGGAGGAAAAATGTTATCTTATATAGACTTTTAACACTTAAAGTCTTCATAACTCGTAATAATTAAGGGAGTTTCAGACGTTTTG